CCCTGAACCCTAAACTCTACACCCGAATGGCAGTCTTGCTGTGGGGGGAAAGATCGACTCGAGCCTCGAACACCGAGATAAGCCGACCCCTCCCTGGACTAAACCCCTAGAGGGTTTAGGGGTGTTTAGGGGTGTATAGGGGTTTAGGGGTTTAGGGTTTAGGGTTTCGGGTTTAGGGGTTTAGGCGGTTTAGGCGGTTTAGGGGTTTAGGGTTTAGGGTTTCGGGTTTACCCTGAACCTTAAACAGTACAAGCCCCAAAAAGTAAGCCCTAAAGCTCAAAGCCCTTAAACCCTAAACAGTAAGCCCGTAAGCCTGGGTCACAAGGAAAGGATCTGAGAAGCAAACTCCGTCATCCGCGCCACGTACTTCTGCCTTTAGCAGACAGTCTCTGAGGGCTTTAAGTTTAGGGCTATAGAGGGCTATTTTCAGCTTTCGGGATTAGAGAGGGAGTTGAGTCGGAATAGCTCTTCTCGTCTGAATCACAAACGTAAATAAGCAGGATTGGAGACCCCTAAACCTCTAAACTGGAGACAAAGAGACGTAATCCGAATCAAGGAGATCCTGACAGGATTCCATGAACGGGGCTTGACCACAACCCGTCCCAGCCCCTAAGCCCGAAAGCCCCGGCAGGACTAAGGACCATACAGTAAGTTTTAGGGTTTAGGGTTCAGGGGTTTGGGGTTTAGGGCCAAGTTTAGGGTTTATAATAAGGCATCAACACAGGTTCTTCAAGCCCTAACCACCCTTCTCCGCCGTAACTGGAAGGCTGTGCCCCCCGAGCACATACCCTATGCAACAGTGGGAGCTCAGCGCTCAGGATACCTGGAGACCAAAACACACCTCTAGAATCCCAAAGTTTTGAGGTTAACCCTAAGGCTCCAAGTGTACTCCCCAACATGCTAACCTACTGTGCCGTGGTACTTCCTTGTGGCAAACGGTGCTCCATCGGTGCTCTTACCCCCCGATGGATCAGCCCATCACTTTCCGCAGTTCTGGAAAAAGCAACTACAGCTGCCAGCGACGCCATTTGGTGTTTTGACGCAGGTGATCTGAGTTAGTCTGAGCGACTTACGTTTTGTAGTCTCGCGATCGAAGTTTGAGGCATACGGGGCGAAGAAATACGAATAATGTGCTCACCTGCATCTCTCTTCGCCGCTTATCTGACAAAAACAGACTGCTGGGTTCGGGGTACTGTAAGGCTTATTTGGGGAGAGCTTTTATAAGACAGGCCTTTTGCACAGGGCTTATTATAAACGAGTTCATGCAAGTCTTTAATATGGCGTAAGGACCAGTACCCCCGAACTCAATGGAGAGGCTCCGGGTATGTGAGAGTCTCAACCCTAGGGGTACACATGGCCTTGTGCTGGTTTTTTGCGTTGCCGAGAAGAAGCCAAATATGAACCTAGGTTCTTGACCCCATGTCGCAATGTACGACATAGATAGATCGATAGATAGATCGATAGATAGTTAGATAGATAGAAAGAAAGATAGATAGAGAGATAGATAGATAGATAGATGGATAGATACATAGATAGATCGATAGCTGGATAGACAGACAGATAATTAGATAGATCGACGTATATATAGATGGATAGATGGATGGATAGATAGTTAGATAGGTAGATGGATAGATGGATAGATAGATAGATGGATAGGCAGACAGATAGACAGAGAAGGTCGTATGTCTTGGGCTCCCAGCATGCTGATAAGCCCTTGGTCAGGACCGACAACGCATGAGGTCGCCTTCCGGATTTTTGTCTTCAAGTTTTAGGACTTTTTCGGGGGTTAAGGCATTCTACGGCTTTTTTTGGTTTTAGCTTCGAAGGTTTTAGGGCTTTTGGCTTCTGGGCTTTCAGGTGTAGCGTTCAGAGCTTTCGATTGAAGGTGTAAGTAGGGCCTAAGAATTACATTTAAGGCCTTATAATTATAAATATACAATCTATAATAATATAGAATATATAATATATTCTACATAATATATAATATATAATTATAAGGTTCCGGGCGGAAGACTCCCGGGGGTGCAGAGCTCCGTCCTTCTCGCCCAAGGTGGCGCAATTGCTCATCGTGGCCTTCAGGCAGACAGCTGCGTGGATCTTTTTAGGGTTTAGGGTTTAGGGTTTAGGGTTTAGGGCTTGATCATGGATCTTGAAAGATGTGCTTGATCATAGGCTCCTAAGTAGTTCCTTTTTTATGGTTCATATTTAGAATCCTATAAGGTAATCCCAAAAAGGAACTACTAAGGAGCCTATGGGTATATAGCCTTAACCATAGGCTCTGAACCCTACGCCCGTGCACCTAAACTTCAACTGAAATTCAGCTGACATGAACATCCGGGTGCGAGTTCTCAACTCACGAATTACGAGGCCCCGGCCCATGCACCAGTGCTGCCGTCGTCGTTCTCCTCCGCCACCTTCCACTCCGACGATAAACAACTTTTATAGAACTTTCGTGACAACGTCACGACTAGCACATAGAATCCTAAACCCTAAACTCTAACCCTGAAGCCTGAACTTTTGACAACACCTAAAGCGGGTTAGGGATACCATTCTTCAAGGAAAAGGGGGCTGATAATCACCTAGCCAGACCAAGCCATACCGTTTTAGTCACTACATTGTGGAAATATAGCGTTAATCCAACAAAAAAGTGATTGACAAGAAAAAAGAACTGCCAGGCCTTCTTCGCTGATAACCCCTGTGCCCTAAGCGCGCTGGAACCCTGCCAAGACTTCTACCTATACAGGCTTCATTGTAGTTATTGTAGTTCCTTTTGGGGGACTACCTAATAAACGATCCTAAGTATAAACCACTAAAGTGAACTACAATGGAGCCTATAGGTAGATTAGTTCCTTTTTGGGGATTAGCTGTGTAGGATCCTATGAGCCCCCAAAAGGAACTACAATGGAGCCTCTACTTGGAGGCTCATGGGTAGTTACAAGTGGGGGTATAAGTCCCCGAATGTAGGATATAAGTATAGCTACCCTACTTATGACCCCATTTATAAAACTACCCATCTGAACCTGGAAGTAGGTATATAAGGGAGCGGCGCAACAACCTTCGAGGCCACACGGCCTGGAGCAGACGTTTGTTCAGCCCTGTATAGTAAATTTCAGGGTAAGTTGCTTTAGGTCAGGGGGCTTAGGGCACATGTACATATGGGCATATACGGACTATCTCAATGTGGCCGTGAGAAGCTGCACATACGAGAGCTTTACCGCACACGGCGCCAACATCAAGCAGCAATTTGACAATCATGTCTCCTGCGGATTCCTGCGGAGGCTGCAAGTACGGGACTCAAAGAACACTTGCCATCTACATCGCGCACGTCCTTGTCAGCGCCAGCATCCAGAAGAAGGGCAATCTTGACGTCGCCGTTACGCAGCGCGTGCGCGAGGGCAGACTTGCCGAACAGATCGCCCTTGTCAGCTCTGGCATCCACCAGCAGACGGGTGATCTCAGTATATGAGAGTTCATGGCTGCAAGAAAGAGAGCTGACTTACCAAACCAATCGCGCACGTCCTTGTCAGCGCCTGCATCCAGCAGAAGTCTCGCAACCTCAGCCTGACCAGCGGAGGCTGCATGCATGAGAGCTGTCTTGCCACCCTGCACCAGCACCCAGAAGACGGGCAACCTGCAAGTCTTTGTCAGCCCCAGCGTCCACCAGCATGCGGGTGATCTCAGTGTGTCCAGCGGAGGCTGCGTAAATGAGAGCTGTCTTGCCAGCCAGCATGTCCTGCAAGTCTTTGTTAGCGCCGGCGTCCACCAGCATGCGGGCGATCTCAGTGTGTCCAGCGGAGGCTGCGTAAATGAGAGCTGTCTTGCCAGCCTGCATGTCCTGCAAGTCTTTGTCAGCCCCAGCGTCCACCAGCATGTCCGTGATCTCAGTGTGCCCAGCGGAGGCTGCGTAAATGAGAGCTGTCTTGCCAGCCTGCATGTCCTGCAAGTCTTTGTTAGCGCCGGCGTCCACCAGCATGCGGGCGATCTCAGTGTGTCCAGCGGAGGCTGCGTAAATGACAGCTGTCTTGCCAGCCTGCATGTCCTGCAAGTCTTTGTTAGCGCCAGCGTCCACCAGCATGCGGGCGATCTCAGTGTGTCCAGCGGAGGCTGCGTAAATGAGAGCTGTCTTGCCAGCCTGCATGTCCTGCAAGTCTTTGTTAGCCCCAGCGTCCACCAGCATGCGCGTGATCTCAGTGTGCCCAGCGGAGGCTGCGTAAATGAGAGCTGTCTTGCCAGCCTGCATGTCCT